ATACAATGTTATAATTATTACATTTATACAATAATCAGCATGAGACTGGTTTGATACCAGCCCTGCCTATGTAAAGTAATATTCAGTCATTTAGCTCATATTGTAACCACATTTACATGGCTACACCCTTTTTTGCAAACCCCACCCACAGAAATTATGTCAGTAATTCTTCTATTCCAAGTGCCTTCTATTGCTTTCTCAAGTAAAAAATTTGCCTGAGAAAAATATGCACAGGTCAAGCACCATCTGCAAGTGACAACCAACAAATATGCTGGTTGATTTTGATGCGAGAGGATAACAGGAGATGGACTTTTTCACTGAAGGAAGCGTTATTATAGATTTTGACCAGATGGTTTAAAGTTAAGATGCCTTAATTATGGATTTGTTTCTTACAAACAAAGATGTTAATCGATGGACTGAAGTTGTGTGGACTATTTGTGGATTATTGTGATGCTTTTATGATGTTTGGACTCTCATTCTGATGGCACCCATTCATTGCAGAGCATCCATTTGTGAGCAAGTGATGCCAAATTTCATCTGTTCAGATGAAGAAACAAACTCATTTACATCTTGGATGGCCTGAGAGTAAATTCGTAGCTAATTTTCATTTCTGGGTGAACTGTTCTTTTATGTTGAAAATAAATTCCATTCAGTTTCTCAATTTCCTACTATATGGAGTTTATAAATGCATTTTAGTCATTGTTTGTTATCGACTAAATCCTTCTGGGCCAACAATTACTCTCTTTTTTCCAGTTCTAATGTCTGTCTGAGGCTTTCAGAGAGTGACTGACATTCCCATTTTTTCACATCAGTTCCTGTTGAGTCCACGTGTGTGTCAGTGTCAGTTAAGTCAGACATGTTCCACCCTGCGATGGCTGATAGTGTTTGACAGACACAGAGGGTCAAACCAAGGGCAAAATCAATAACACAACTTTTCAATTCCTCCCAGACAAAGTCTTAATATAACAACAGAGCTTCTGAGGAAAAGATGACAGCCACTGGATATCCACATTGAGCAATCCACTTAACACTATTCACTTAAAATAAATAGAACAGCAATTACATCTAAAAGACTTTCTGATTATATTTAATTAACCAGTACACAGACTGGCTTATTTTGAGAACAATAGATTGAAGTTTTTAGATATGAAACGTTTCTTTGAAATCTTATGAAACCTGCTAATTTAAAAGGAGGCAAGATGATTATTTTAATTATTTCAATTCAGGATCCCCAGCGGTTATCATCAAATTCCTTGATCCAAATCTCAGAAACACTAAACTGAGTATGCGTTTCAAAAAAGCAGATGGTGATGCAGATTGAATGAGTCAGTGGATAAACGCTCCATCCCTCATTCAGATCCCGTGGCAATAGGATGCTTGTGGGTTGCAGGTTAATTGAGAGAAAAATAATAAAAAAGAGCTCTAAGCACACTTTATTGCCTTAATTCTCATAATCAATATGCGTACAGCCAGAGGCTACTTCCAGACAGTTTATATAGTATATGAGAATTTGGCACAGAGAGCCACCGAGCTTTAGTTTGTGTCAAATGTTGATCCATCAGCAATATTTATTGCACTCCTGATCCGGTCTTGGTGCCTAATTTTACCCAGTAGAGTACAATGACCTATTGCAAAGTACTACTACCTGTTTTCTACTGATTGATTGGCTTGGTCATCTTCGAAATATGGATGCATTTGACAAAGAAGATGGATACCTTTTTTCTATTGCAAAAAAAAGAAAAGATAAATAAGCAATCAGCATTATTTTGTCAACCTAACTACAAGTAAAATAAAAAAGGTATGCCAATTTATTCTCATTGGATTGTCTTCCCACACAATATTGTGCCAACGACTGTACATCAGACAGAAGTCAAGGCAATACATTATGAAAAATTCAATATATCATTTACCAAATGTTCCACAGCTAAAATATGACTCATGCTGATAACATACTCGATAAGTAGTGAAATTGTGAGTGTAACCAACTGCTAACTGCCTTTTATTATAGTAATTATAAGGGCTATAAATTGAGGTTTTGTACAATGTAGGCGCTTAATGTGGCCCATTATGTTGTGGATGGGTTAAAATGGGAAAATGTAATATTCATAATCTAATTGTAATCTGATAATCTGGTATAGTGCCTCTAAATGAATTTACCCTGCAGATTTTTGTAGAAGTTTTCAACATCTTACAGATGAAAACTTGACAGTGTATATAACATCACCTTTAAGCTTAAGTAATACCATGTTTTATAAATTAGTAGATGACTTAAGGAAAAACTTATTTTGAGGCATTTGAATCATAGACTTTAAGAGATAGTTCAGCTCGTTATCTGAACTTTCTGTTTGCAGTGACATTTACTGAAATGTCTAAAACGCATTTAAAATAGTCTCCATTTCACTCCCAGTATGAACAGATAAGAGAAAGACAGCAAGGTGACTTTCAGCTTTAGGAGTGACAGATAACCCATTAAAACCTGGTGAAAGAGAGAGATAGAGAAAGTGAGGGAAGCATAGAGATGAGATAATGCTAATAGGTTAGAGTCATGCAAAAATAAATCTGCCATCGGATCACATGGACTTTAAGCTTGCGAATGGTAAAATGTCTTACATATACAGCTGCCTATGGTCTTGCCCATCAGAAGAATGTCAAGAATGGTTTTGTAGCACTGTAGTATTTTTCTTCTGTTGGCTTTCATCATTGTCAGTTTGGCTGTATTGAGTTAATCAGACAGACAGGCTTCCCCCCTTCAGTGCCAGACGAGGTCAGGACAAAATCTGCAGTTCACTGCTGTGAATTAACTCATTATACTGGAGAGAGAATCAAGGGAAAAATAACTATTCTCACTTAAACAGTGTCAAATGCCAGGGAATGTACTTAGAAATACTCCACAAAAAGTCAATCCACTGTGTCGCTGAAAAGACCAGCACAAATTTCAATTTTCATCTTTTCCAGACTGGTTAGAGCCGTTTAGCAATCGTATATTTTTTTTGGTCATGATAAAGAAACAGTTCATATCAGAACATACAGTATTTGCAGAAATCTAGCATTACATCACCAATGGATCCTCTGCAGTGAATGGGTGCCGTCAGAATGAGAGTCCAAACAGCTGATAAAAACATCACAATAATCCACAAGAAATTCACATGACTCCAGTCCATCTGTAACACCCCTGTGGACTGTTTATTGTGGTTTCTTCCCCTTTTGTTGGTTTAGCCCGTATGATCATTAAGTTAATTACCCTCATTCTGCCTTGTGTCTACATTAAAAGTCATTGTTGGAATCGTCCTGCCTGCCCCCACACACTGTCACATAACATCTTGTGAAGTGAAAAGTTGCATGTTAGTCCATAGTCTTTTAAACTGTAGTCCACTTTAAGTCTGAGAGTGCACTGAGAAATTATATCACCAATTAAAATAAATATTGAAGCAGAGGTCTGAAAACACTGCAGCAAATACCCAGGGAGGAGATAATTCAATCTAGTGCACACACATAATAGAAGAGCCACAGGTAAGTGCATAAAGACTCGTCTTCAGGGGCAGAAGAGCATTTAAATGGAACCAGCAAATAGAAGAGGATATTCCAGAGGTGTTTTCTCAGACAGGACACTTGGCTTCTAAAAAATAGTACAAAAGATAGTACAAATCTAAAATACAACAATTACTTCATCTTCCACTGATCAGAAAAACAGACAATCCTGCCCCAATCTCATGCCATTGGTTTAGACCAGGGATCCTCAAATCTGGCCCGCAAAATCCACTTTCCTGCAGAGTTTAGCTCTAACCCTAATCAAACACACCTGAGCATGCTCATCAATGAAGACTCATCTTCAGGGGCAGAAGAGCATTTAAATGGAACCAGCAAATAGAAGAGGATATTCCAGAGGTGTTTTCTCAGACAGGACACTTGGCTTCTAAAAAATGTAAATAACAGATAGTACAAATCTAAAATACAACAATTACTTAATCTTCCACTGATCAGAAAAACAGACAATCCTGCCCCAATCTCATGCCATTGGTTTAGACCAGGGATCCTCAAATCTGGCCCGCAAAATCCACTTTCCTGCAGAGTTTAGCTCTAACCCTAATCAAACACACCTGAGCATGCTCATCAATGTCTTCAGGATCGTTAGAAAATCATAGGTAGGAGAGTTTGATCAGGGTTGGAACTAAACTCTGCAGCGCATTGGCCCTCCAGGGCAAAATTTGAGGAACCCTGGTTTAGACAATATTTTTAGCTAGATAGGATCCTCAACAAGGCAATTTTGAACAGGCCCAGACCCCAGTGACTGTTTTGCATTCTTTATGTGCCCTAAATGCACCCATTTTTTAAGACCACACTGCTGAGGACTATTAGCCAACAGCCCATGAGGTAAAGTGTAGACCTCCCAGAGGAAGGTCGACGATGTAATTTGGGGCAGCCCAGAGGTATTCACACAGTTCTTACTTAAAAAAATGATTAAATAAATCAACACACTATACTTACTTATAGTTGTCTGTATGTTAAGAAAGAAAGTTTGTAAGAGAGTGTATGAGTTATTAATTGGCAGAGAGACGCGCCGTGGTTGTCATAAAAGGTGTCATTTTGTAATTGTAATTTTGAAGGCACTGAATCAGGAAACATGACACTTCTGTAAAAGCTTTAGACAGAGGTGCCAGACCTCCAAACTCAGGCTTAAAAGAAGAAAAAGTAGTCTTACCAAATGATTCTTTCATTTCAATCTCTCCCTCTTGCTCCTAGAAAATTGCCTTGCATGTTTTTTCTTCCCTTCTCCTTTCATTGTACTACTTCTACAAGAAACCTGAAGCCAGATTCACAAAAAAAAATTATTCTCAGAATGTTTTCTATTCCTGAAAATACTTCCAAAGAACGTTCTTATGTTTTCTTCAGAACAATCTTAAGAATTCTATTCTTTTTCAAATAAATAAATATAATCTATCAACTCTTAGGATGAAAAGATAAAGGAACAGGACAGAATTAGGAACTCTTAGGACTCAGTAGTTAGAATGGAAATGATACATTTCATGGTTTGTTTCAAATATTTAGCAGTAAAACATCACAGTGTTTTACGCAGTGATGGAGTTTGGTAGGAAAGTCTGGTGAGCCTCTATCCAGATGAAGCAGAGTGCCTTGTAGGCTATGTGCTGCTCTGGCTGGCTGGCTTGGACATCCCATGAGTCTTTGGGCAGGGACAATGGGGCAGTAGACCTGCTAATACTAGATAAGCCCTTCCAAGGGCAGGTCCACTAAACTCTCACACTGCTGACAAATACAGACGTGAAACCCATCAACAATGCTCCTTCATCACGTTTATCTGTTCCTTCCCTCCCTCACTCTGCCTTCTCCTTATTTCATTCAACACTCACTCTCTCTCCCACTATCTTTCAATTGTTCCTTTAGAAGTAATCCCAAAGGCTGTCAGGCCTTTCTTCACTCATGAATCTCAAGTCTGGCTTTTGACTCGTCAATGAAAAGATGTTCGGTGTGTGACTAATTTCGGCATGAGCTAACTTGTGTGATAGTCACACAGGGCATGACCTTTGACCCTAAATTTATGGATGGGTAATGGAGCAGAGAGAAGATGCTAGATCCAAATTCCTTGTATCCGTCCTCCTGGGCAGAACAGCCCAATCCATCTGTAAGGATTACATGGAGCTTTATGAACACACAGCGGGCCTGTTCTCCACTCTCTCTCTGTCTCACTCTGCCTCTCATCATTCAAGTACTCATTCCCATTTTATCTAATCCCCACACAGTCTCTTTTGCTGGAATTTGCTTCCCAAGCCACATAAATGGCACATATCTGAGCTTTACCAGATACTTCACTACTAAATACTAACTAAGTCCTGAATGTTGTATTCCTTTTTGTTGTATTCCTCATATCAAGTGTCCATCCAAATCACCCAAATTCTAGTCCATAAGGTATAACCCTGCAAGCAACACTGACTGTGTTTACATACACAATCAAACACTGCTAACTATCAAAAATTACCTATTTAAAAAAGAAATTTCAAGAAAAACATCTCAGGTTACGTATGTAACCCTAGTTCCTCGAGGGAATGAGGCGCTGCGTCAGAAACGCTAGGGGAACGCCCTTCAGCATGACGGGCTCTGAACCTCGTGTGTAATCAGACCAATAGATGGGCGAGATGTCACGGCGGGTGACGTAATGACCAGGAAGCTATAAAACCACGCGCGGTGAGACCAGCGTCAGCTTCTAGGAATGAAGCAAGCGCTGGCAGGGATGCCGGAAGTATGGCACCGAGACGTAGCGTCTCGTTCCCTCGAGGAACTAGGTTTACATACGTAACCTGAGACGTTCCTCTTCAGGAACACAAGCTGCGTCGAAACGCTAGGGGAACGCGACTGCCCACGCCGCCAGACTTCTAAGTCTCTGCCTAGTGTGGAAGACTGCACAGCTAGGGCGAGAGAACAGAAGAGCCAGGAGTGGCTTGCATGTCTAGGTCCTAGAACCTGACGAAGGTCAGGGGCGTGGATCATCCCGCGGCATCGCAGATGTCCTGCATAGAGACACCTGCCAGGAAGGCCTCAGAGGCCGCCACACTTCTAGTAGAGTGAGCCTT